AGTGAGGGCAGATTGAATCCAGCTTCTAAAAAAACCACTTTTCCAGAAATTGTGGAAGGAAGAAATGGCTGACAGTGAGACAGCTTCTGGGTAGAGTGTGCCTTAGAAAAACCTCTGTTGTTGGTAGGTGCTGAGGAGCAGTGTGATCCCCAGAGCAAAGATCAGAAATCGTGTAGCAGAACTCTGCGGGAAGAAAACGGCACGGGTTCAGGAATCTGTGGAAATCAGAGCTTGCATCAAGATGAAATAGAAAACAACAAAGGACAGGCTAGATCCGAGGAAGAGAATCGAGCTAGCAGAAACCCAAAGGTATGTGAAGAGTGGTTTGGCAGTAATTTGGGGAATGCTTAGGATTGCTTAATCGACAACTATTTCCTCCTCCGAAGTAGAAAGAGTTTCTGCTTACCAGATCTTGTTGCTGCTACAGCTGTGACTTCTCTGATACAAATGTTTATTAGTGACATGTGGCACTTTTCCCAAAATGGCACAAAATAAAGCCCTGATAAGTAGTTTGGAATAAACACTCTCTGGCAGCTGCTTTGATACCTGCTTGTCTCCTTTCCAATGTATTATTTTTCCCCAACTGAAACAAAAATATGTACTTTCACCTTTGTGTTTTCATCCTCACCTTTCAGGTATCTAAAAAACAAAAGAAGGAACAGCAGCGGCTAGAGAAGAAGAAGAGGCAGGAAGAAAGGCACCGACAAAAGGTCTTGGGCAACAAGAGTAACTGTGCAGATAGCAACAGGAGCGAGACGGACTCAACCAACCACGTCACCTTGGTGAAGGCCATGGCAGCTCTAAACATATGACTGAATGTGTTAGGAGTGCTCTGGTGAAAAAAGCAAATAAAACTGATGAAGACAAAACTCCCCTTCAGCAAATTTCCAAGCAGCCATCGTTGTCTTAAAATCTCTTTCTGCAGAGATCTCTAAGCACACGTGAACTTCCTGTTTCTTTGGTTGTGGGGCGAACAATTATTTGGTAATTCTGCATCAACCTGTGTGTCAGAAGAGTTCTTTGAACTTAACCAAAAAATAGAGACTTGATTTTATTATTTCAGAGTTAGATGGCGAGGACCTTTTCTTCACACAGCAGTGTCAGATTTCCTTTGACATCTCTTGATGTGCTTAGATTATTTTCCTTTTTTTAATATAACTTTTTACATGGTTACGCTTGGAGGAGCTTTATTTTACCTTACTGACAGGGAATGCTTAACAGCTCACAACTCAGGAATGTGTTGGTTTTTCTTTTTGTTTTGTTCTGTTTTGTTTTCTATTTAAATAAATTAAGGGAACAGAATCCCAGAACCCTTTCCAAAAATCAGCGTGTCAGCCAACACTGTATCAAACACTACATTCCTCTTTTCTTTTCCATGCAAGAATGCAGTGATAAGTTTTAATCTAACTAGAACTGCTTGTGTTGTTGCACTAGACTGTTTCAGAAGTGATTAATACGTGAAGGGAGAATGGGATTGCTGTGTTCATGCTTGCTTCTTGCTTAAGTTTGAGATGAACTTGTTTGCCAGCTCTTGAGACCTTCTGAGAAAAAAGATAATTATACCAGTGGACTCCTGAGACCACAGAGCTGATTGATCCAATCTGGTGAAGTCTAATGAGGTAGTAAAATGTGACACGAGCAGGCATGGAACTTCTGTTGACTGTTGTTACTTGGACATCTGGAATCTCATCTCCTCTAGAACTTTTGGGCTACTCCAGAGCTTTAGTCCAAGCCAGTAACTTGATAGTTGTTAGTCTCCGAGTTAAATTAGTGTAGCAAGTGGCTCGAGTCCTGGGAATAAACTTCCAAGTAGCAGTGATCATTGGGAACTGCCCACTTCACTCTTCATAAATCAAGTTTTTTCCAGGGTAAGATTTTTCTCATCGTAAATTCCTCTTCAGTAAGGTCACCAAGTACTGTGGAATGTACAGCTTGAATACTGTGATACTTTCCACTATAGGATTGGGAATTGGAACTGAAGCGTAAGGACTGTGGGACTTGGCCCTCAATTTATGACTTGCAGTGTTTCAGCTTCACTCAGGTTTCTGGACTTGTCTCAGGCTCTGAGCAAAAGCACACATGTACTTACAGTAGGTAACAGAAGACACCTCATCAGCCAGGGCAGAGGTGAAATAGATTTTTTTTTGAAAGTAAGGAACATTGCTTCTGAAAAAGAGCATGCATTCTTTGAAGTGTCCAAATCACCACAGAAATATAAATGCCTTTTTTGACTGAACTGCCAAGATCTATGCTCTGCCACTGTTTATCAAGACCATTTGAAGAATGAAAAGAAAGGAGCTCTACTTTTAAGTCCTGGTGGTGTAGAACAGGCTTTAGTGCTGGTGAAGAAGTTACTTTGGTTCCTCTAATGAGCAAGCTACACTATGAATAAGGTGTTTGATCTTAATTAATTGCTGTTTTGTCTTTCTGAGCCAGAGCTGATAGGAGGGTTATTGCAGCTTCACACCTGGGGAGCTGTGAAGGGAGTTGTCCTGTCCCCAGCAGATGGGAAGCTGAGCTGCTGGAGCTGTGAAGGGATCTGTGAAAATGAACTTCATCCTGGCCAGGCTGAATGGGCAGCCCTGCAACAGCAACACCTATTAAATAAAAGGGAGAGAGGCCTTCAGTGCATGGCCTCTGATACCTGTAACCAAATATGTGGCTGAAAATGCTTTAATTTCCAAGTGTAATATGGTAAAAACAAACTCTTAATGTCGGTGCTCAGAGGTCTTGTTAGATCAGTCAAGTTCTCCTTATTTTTGATAGGATAGCTTTGTACCTGGACAAACATTTTGTATCCAAAGATATTAAAAGTTTCATTTTGTCCGTTTCAGATTTTTCCTTTAGCTCTTGAAATTTCCACCTGCCCTTACGCTGAGTATTTTTCCTAGGGAATCCTTATGCTGCGCTCCTCAGAGAGCTCAATTTATGCAGAGAATTTGGTTTGAAAACAGGTCGTGGATTTTCCTTGCAGGAGGAAGGGAGGCGAGAAACAAGAGAAAAGAAACATCATGATTCATCGCTCGTGTTTACTCCTTGGTGGAGCAGACAGTGCTTCATAATATGTGGTCATGGGACAATACGCACTGCACGTTCCCTTGGTATTTGAGGAGGAGTTTTGTTTGTTAGCAGCTGCTAGCTTACAGCTTGGAGGGTCACGAGTGGGCAGAGGGTTTTCCCCTGCATCCTGTCTACCACCATCATCTTCCTCAGACATATTTTTTTCCAAATCCTTCCCCTGCAGGTAAGGAGTTCAGTCAAAACGGAAATTTTAAGCATTTTGCCAGGTTTTGCCTGCTGTCCATAAACATGTCTTGGCCTTAGGAAGTATAGGAGGGCTTTGCTTGTGCTCCTCAGTTTCTGGTGTACCCTGTTCCTTCTTGAGGGCTGCCTTTTGGTTTATTTACCAACAGCTTCACCTCATTCGCAGGGCCTGAATAGCAGCAGAAGTCTCCTCGTCCCTGGTATCCATGTTTTCCATGCTCTTGGAAGGTTCCCACTGTGATTTTTTGAGTCCGTTGTAACTAAACAAGAGTTTTGTTTCCCCCTCTGGACTCTCAGCAGGGCGCTCACTTCTGTTACCAAACCAAGCCTCTGGTTTTTTGGATGCTGAGTGCAATAAAGGTGGCAAAGATGTGCCAGCTGAGCTGTGTGAGTGAAATTAAGTGTACAGGGCATGCCGTGGGCTAAAAGGCAAAACTTTCAGATTAGTTTAATGAGTCTGCACAACCTGGACCCTTCCTGGGGCTGTGATCTGGCTGTGGGGCATACCTTCACCTGCCAGTTTTTGCAAGCTTCAGAAATTTGGCTGAACCTGGGGGAAATAGGGTAATTCTTCATGTTGGTATTCCAGCATTGTATCAAGTGGAGATGGTTTATACTGGAGTTGAGCTGTGTGGAGCCTGTTTGCAGGCACAGACCTTAGAGGGCAGCATTGGCTTCATAAGCTGTGTTCCAGCTCTCTCCTGGTCCATCCTGAACCCCTTAAGTGGCACCAGAAAACGAATAACTGTTTTGAAGTTATAAAGATACCATGTTTACTGTAGGAAGCATGAGGAAAGGGTAGGGATGTTGCTCCTGATGAAATGGAGTCAGGCAGGAGCCCATGATACTGAAGTGAAATTTAAAGAAAACAGCCTTAAAAAGACTTTATTTTGGGACGCCCCTGCTCTGAAAGTGTGCAAAACACGCCTCTGGAGATGGCATTAAAACCAGAGGTGCTTCCACGGAGGCCCAGGCCTGAGGGGCAGCTGGCCCCGGGGCTGACCGGGGCTCTTGAGGGCCAACTGTGGGCCTAGTGCAGCTGTGGTGAGGCCTGAGGTGGCTGCAGGAAGCTGCGACCTGAGGAGATCTGCCCGGCTCCAGCCTTGTGAGGACTTTGTGGATATTCGGGTGAAAGAAAGAGCCACCCCAAACACCAGAGACCATCATCACCATGCTCCCCCACGGATTTAGTGAGTATTAATTGTTTAAGTAGTCATTAGGAGCGGGATGGGGCTGAGTTCCCTGAGGGGAGCAGGGTTTGTAGCCTGCTTTGGGCTCAGGGTGCAGCAGCTGCTTGTTCTTTATGTTCGCTTTTTTTTCCTTTGAAGCTCTTAAGATCTACTGATTGGCTGCTAAAAAGTCACTTTTGGTAAATGTTTTTTAAGAAAAAGATGCAAAACTGTGGGTGCATGTAAATATTTACTTCAGAAAATCAGCCACAAAGCTCTCTGCTGTTTCCGACCCCTTCCACCAATTCCCAAAACACAAACATGACACTAGGCACAATTTAAAAATTGTCTTTGAAATTTTATTTTTATTTGGAAGTATTCTCTCATTTTTATGATTGGTTTAATTGTGAGGAGTGGGCTATCCCCATGCACCGGCTCAGAGCCTCATGTGCTCTGGGGAGAGGCCTTTTGGTGCAGCAGGGCCATGCTGTGCCCTGCCTGCCTGTGGGGAAGGCAAAAAAAAAACCCCAGAATTGACTATTCTGTCAGGTTTTGAGCCCGGTGTGTCTAGCAGGAGGGAGTGGCGCCCTTACACCGTAAATTGAGGTAATTCTTGTATGTGCTGCGGTAGGTACTGGCCGACCTTTTGAAGCACTCTGCCGCCCGCTTGTCACACTCGCAGGTCTGTCTTTGGCACGTATTCCCGGCTTCTGGAATAAAATTTGGGGGGAAGGAATCAGGTGAAGGTTGCAAGAGTTGAGGGGTGTTTTTTGATCATGTGCTCTTGTATGCAGCCCCCGCATTGAGTTTGGGGTGTCTCAGGTAATCTACCCTCTGGTGGATGGAGCTACCTGGATAGGAGGCATGCGTGGCCCTGGAGGGGCTATTTCATTTACTTTCTGTACAGATGTATGTATAAATATTTGCTTTGATCACAGGGAAGTGCTTTGTTATGACCCACTCACCCTGAAACAGCTTTGTTTGCTCTGGGGAAATGGGGGCAGCAGTGCCAGGTCCCCATCCAAGATGTGGGGGGGATGTCACATCAAACCCTCATTATTTGGTCTCTAAGAAGGGCAAGGCCGCTGTTTTGGGAAGTCTCCAAGCTCTAAGCTTCACCCTACTCCTAGCAAATAAGTGTTTGTCCTATTCCTGGTGCTTTTCCCTCATTTCTACCCCCTCCCAACAAGCGGTTTCCGAGCCAAGATTGTCTAAAGGACATTTTGGAAGAGAGGTTTCCCACGAGTGTGCATGGTTGTGCCTTCCCGCTCGGAGCTTTGACCCCGCACCATCTCTTACCGCAGATTATCTGGCTTCCCAGGGTGTAGTATTTGTATGTGACCAGTTTGGGACTGCAGCGAGAGGAGGCCAGCTTCTTGTAGCAGCAGTCGTGGGCATGGCAGCACCTGGGAGTGCAAGAGTTATGGTCAGGATGGGATGGTACCATGGTGGTGCATGGCTCCCAGGAGAAATGCCTTGCATTTGTGCCTAGGTTGGGTGCGTGGTCATGCAGCAGCCTTGTTCTCAGCATCACCCACACCGCAGGAGCAAGGGAGGGTGATATAAACCTTTCTGGCATCGCCAGCACAGTTCTCTAATTGCTTTCCCTTTGCAGAACATCAAATGGCTGCTTGCAATTAGCCCAGGTGGGCAGAAGAAATGCCAATGTGCCCTGTTCCCATCTGCTACTAAGCACCTTTTAAAGATCTGTTAAGGATGAGCAGCCGTTTTTGCATTGCTATCAGCTCCCAGGAGCAGGGCAAGCATTCCCCTCGCTGTACAAAGGGAGAGGGAGGTGAGGAGGGCTGGGGGCACCATTTTGCCTCCACCAGGTCCTGACTTACCAGTCAGTCGCATCCAATGGCTGTTTGGATCCCCCCAGGCCACAGTAGCAACCGTAACCATTGTAGGACAGCGCCGATTTCCCTGTCTTGTGCTTAATCATTGAACCAAACTGCAACACATTGCAACTGGCGAGGGCCAGCCCTGAGACTGGAGACAGAGAGTTAGGAGCATTGGGAAAAGCAACCTCTCATCCCACCCCTCTGTAGCAGAAATGAGGATTTTCACCCTCCCCAGCTTAATTGTTTATGGGAAATGGTGAGCAGGCTTTCCCCACCACCCCATCTGGCGAGGGGAGAGCTGGTGTAGGGGTACTCACGGCAGAGGAACAGCAAAAAGAGCTTCATGGCTGGTGGTGGCAGCTCCAGTGTCTGGGTGATGCCCAGGTGCCGCCAGTCGCACCTTTTATTGCCACCGCGTACCCGCTGAGCGGGGCCCCTCCTTTGGAGGATCCAAAGTGGGCAAATATTGACAATTGTCACCAAAGCGGTCCCGCTATGTGTGTAAGCCTCTCTTGGCATTGCTCGAGGCTCCATCTGTGGGATGCTTTAGGCTGGGGGAGCCCTTTGCAGGGGAGATTTTGGTGGACTGGGATGAGTGGGGCAGACTGGCGTTGAGTCTGTTATGGCTCTGGGAATCTCAGCATCCCAATGGCTCCCTGAAGAAAATGGGAGAACTTCAGAGAGAACAGGAACCACTTTGTTCCTGGATGACTTTTTTTGATGTCTTGGTTAGAAAACGCCATTCTGTATCTTACTGTTTCCATCATGGCTTCCCTGGGCAGGGAGAAAACGCAGCAAAGTAAGGCAAGCAGCAGGGTAATGAGAAAAAAAATTAAGTAGTGTATAACAGAAGGGTCAAAAAAGAGGATGGTCATGTCGTTTGCTTGGAGATGATCCCTAATTAAATAAGTGAGGCTGAGCAACCATTTTAGCAGTTTTCTTCTGACAGAGATTGCCATGTTCTGCTGTGCTTTGTGGGGAATCCCAGCACGAGCAGCCATTGGTGAGAGGAAATCCCCCCGTTGCCAATGGGGAAACTGAGGCAGGGAACAAGGATGTGACTTGTATGGAAATCGGAGAGATGGTGAGAAAAGGGAACTCGGGTCAGGGCCTCAGCAAAATCTCTTTTCCCCTCTGACATGTGACTTTTGCCTTATCAGCTCTAATTTAAGTAGACCCCTGGGACAGCAGCAAGTTAATTAGCAACAAATAATTGCCATAATTCAGTATATCTTGTGTCCACTGACAGTTTTTATCGCTAGAGAGCAAGGTAGATTTTTGTGCATCGAACTGGCTGAGCTGCCAGGTGAAGGACCCTCAGCTCCAACTCCTCTACCCGCAGCAGGTTTGCAGTAGCCCTTCTCCAAATGTGAGATAAGAGACCTCTCTGGAGCCAAACACCTCCTGGGAGAATGTGCTTTTTGTTTCTCTTCTGCAGTCTGCAAAACACAACTTTTGCAGCCCAATTTATTGCATTGTTCCAGGGGGGTGCAGTATCTGAGCCAACGCGTCAGCACTTGGAGCTGATGAAAGGATTCGTACAGCCAGATGTCCAAGGAGAAGAATACACAGGTAGTTAAAATTCACCCAGAATTTAAACAGGGAGAGTGTTTTGGCTCAATCTAGCCTGCAATCTGTCTGTGTGATCACCTCTCTCCTGTCGCGGTGAGGATTTGATCCTTGGTTTGTGCCTTGCAAACAGCAGCTGCTGGGCAAGGGGGTGCCCCCCCTTCCTCAGCTCCCCAAGGATGAGGAAGGTGCTGGAGCTTGGTGCCTGGGTTGCAGCTGGAGGGAAACATTGCGGATTTAAGGGATATTTCCTGGTGCTGTTGACTTTGGAGGAAGCCAGGGTGGGAATTACAGCTCCTGATGCCCAGGGCATTGGAACGTAGCATTTTGTTGCTGTTTCAGTGCCTGTATTTCACTGCTGTACCCTGTGGAGGTTTGCAGCACTGAGACCTCCCAGGGAGTCAACCCTGCTGAATTGATCTGCAGGGCTGAAAACTTGTGCCGTGGGGATGCTGCAATGGCTGGGGGGGGAGCAGCCACCGCCTGAACTGCCTTTTCCTAGGGGATGTGCTCAGGGTTGTTAGAAAATGGGGCCAAAAACATTCTTCTCTGGTGAGAAATCTGTTTTGCTCTGTGCTGGGCGTGAGGCAAGAGCGAGCTCCCGGCCACCCCATCGCAGCAAAGGTTACCAGCACCCGGCCCTCCCACAGCACCCGTCTGCCCGCAGCCCTTTGCGCCAGCTTTGGTTTCTGTACCTCAGAGCAGTTGCAGATTTACAGAGCCTGAAGGTTCGGGGCTAAGCAGGGGGCAGTTCAGGGGCATGGATGTGCCTTGGTGGGAGCTACATCACCTCTCGGGTGTCAGTTTTTGCTGGGTATTTCCACAGGAAACCCAGTGAAGAGGTTGGCTTCCCCCTGCTGCCTGCACACCGGACTCGGCTGATTCATGTCACACCAATGCCCGATGTTTTGCGCTCTCTGGTTTTATTTTGGAGCAACAGAAGATAATCTGCGGCGAAGCAAAAAGCAGAGCGAGCAGACGGGCTGCACG